TGATTATAATTTTATTGAAATCAATGTCGGAAAAATATTCAAAAGCCATAATTATTTTCAAACTCAAACTCCTGGCGAAATTATGAATAATTCAATATTCAGAACACGCATGCGCGCGTTTATACATTCTGATTGGTTCATAAATGCTCGCACGACAGGAGTCGAGTGCATGTGAATTCTCGCTTATCACCTACGGCTACAATATAACTGTTGCCATAATGCCCTTGTTCTGAATTAACTTTGAGCCTTGAGTTATCAAAAATTGTTGAATCTGCTGCAGACCCGGGCCATCTACAGACAGGATATTCAAAATGTCTTCAGAAAGATGCAGATTTGAATTATCTGAAGGCAGTTCGGGTTGGTGAATAGTTGGGCCTACGTTTGAAATTTGGGATGCTAAGTTGGCTCCCTCTCCCGATTTAATTATACCACTTTTGATGATTCTTCTCAGAGCATAATGTGCAGCTCGAGCATCAGTAGCATCCCGCCTCTTTGTCTTAGTTGACTGAAAAGGGCCTCAACTGCATCTGAACAGTGGCGGCTCGTGACTTTCATGACAGAGGAGGCTGACTGATATGAGATTTAATGTGAAAGACAACTCTCTACTCACCCAAATCAATAGCTTCAATGATATTCTGTTTACCAGTCAACCTGAACTTAATACTTGAAGAGATGTGTTTCTGTGATTTGCAGTGTCTATCCAATCCGCTAGGCAAATTTTTCAAATCATTATATCTTAATCGCCCCCAACATGATGACTTATTGGTTGAAAATAATACGCAGTACCTACAAAATAGCTTATTCCTTACTTCAGATCCCGTCAGCCAGATATATTTTTAAACATCTGAGGCGATCCATCTTACAGTGGAGTGAAGGCAATAGGACAGGACGAAATTCTTACAGTCGACTCCACCAAAGCTATACTTTATTGTAAGCAATCTTATAGGGACATGTTTCGAAGCTTCAAAGCTTCATCATCAGCATTATTGTTACATAGGAGTACTAAAGTGAGAGAAAAAAGAACAATGTCAGACAAACCCCTCTTTTTTGACATGAGACAGTTTTTCCCTTATTTTCATGTCATTGATAACGAGTGAACATACTCTTTCAATGCCTGAGAGCTGTCAGCCTCTGTTACTGAGCGCGTTCGTATTAAATTTGTCAGGCCTATTGCCTCGTCAGAACTGCCAAGGTACCTCCCCAATGTTGTTCGGGAAGAAAGCCTCATGAAACCTTTGGCGAAAAAATAACCTGTGGGAGATTCTGCTCTCCACAACATGCAATTTCGAATAGTCGTTTCAGGCCAGTGAGGTCTCGTTTTGGAGAAATTATTAATTTGATCCATCACAAAAATGGCATGTGGATTTCCTGTCAAACAGCCATCTTCAATTTTCTTCATTTTATTGTTCTCTTCTATTGATTTATCATTTTGACTTTGCAGAGTTTGCAGTTTTTCGTTTTTATTAGCCAAAATGTTCATCATGTATTGTTTACTAGCCTTCAGTTATTCAATAGTTTACTTTAGCATATTAATTTCATTGGGTTCATTATTATGTGGGGACTCGGGAGCCACGGAAGCTGAGGGATGTTCATGAGGAAGATTGGGAATGATTTGAGGTTTAGGCAAAGGTGGTTCAGGAACAGGAATCTAAAATGAATTGAATGATTATTTACTTACGACGACGTTTATTTATTGAGAAATATATCCAAAAGTTTTGCATCCACACTTTAAAGTCCCACCAGTTAATCATGATAATTGAATAGTTGGGCCTACGTTCGAAATTTGGGATGCTTAGTTGGCTCCTCCTCTAGATTTAATTATACCACTTTCAATGTTTCTTCTCAGAGCATAATGTGCAGCTCGAGCATCAGTAACATCTTGAAACCCTTCTCCTTGTCTCAGTTGACTGAAAAGGGCCTCAACTGCATCTGAATTCATTCTTCTGGTCAGCACATAAAAAAAACATTATTCAATAAATACGTTATTGTTCTAACGGTGCTTTCCGCTGTCGAAATCATTGCTTCCGCAGTTTCTTTGCTGAACCCTTTGGCGCCGACCCTTTTGGAACATTCTCGAATGCTCTTAAAATAATTAGGTGAATCTGTACTAAGCCACTCGAGTCTGTCATCATCTATGTTCATATAGGGTGCAGATAAAGGATCCCTCTGCCTTATGTGTTGGGAACACTCATTGACATCAAGAAATGATTTGAGATTGAAAAATGTATACATATTTTTCATGTACTCAATTGTTGCATCATTTTTTGCGAAGTCTTTGTGTTTGTATATCCTTAAGTATTCAATACTAGACGTGACCTTTGGAGAGAACAGTTGAACAGCTCTTTCAACTTTCATTTTTTCAATATTTGTAGGCATTATGTGTTTCCGTGTGAGAAACGGTACAGGTTCTATGTACAGATTTCATTGTAAATTATATAGCACCTTCACATACTTAGCTATGATTATGAAATAATTTTCTTGCATTCTCACTTATATGGCAATAATCAAAACTGAAGAATAATGGTGAGTTAGGTATAATTGGATATTCTACCTCACTCACCATACATCCATTATCCATTATGTGGGGACTCGGGAGCCACGGAAGCTGGGTAATGTTCATGAGGAAGATTGGGAATGACTCGAGGTTTAGGCAAAGGTGGTTCAGGAACAGGAATCTCAAAAAAATCAAATGATTACCTATACTTACGACGACGTTTATTTATTAAGGAATGTATCCAAAAGATTTGCATCCACACATTGAAGTCCCACTAAATCATGATTATTTACTACTGAGATGGATATACAGTGATATACAGTGTTGAAACCTATGATGGAATAAAATCCTTATCTCCAAAAAATATAATTCAAAAAATCCTCGGATAGGTTGTTTTTCATTTTAGAAAATCTATTCATTCTATTCGTACAAATTTCCAATCATCTGTCAACTTCCTGGTCTACAGATCAACTCCTTCAACATTTTCGAATTGTATGACGTGGTCAAGTTACACCTTGTTCGAGAGGTATTTCAAATTTCTATGCAACAGTCTTATTTTTTCAATTCGGTTGATCCCTATCCTCAAGAGAAGTCGATAAATCAGGATGTTTGTTGAAATCATTGGAAATGATAGGTTCTGTTCCATCGTACATAGGCGCGTAGACGACCGTAGAAATTCAGTGTGAAAAAACTGATTTTGAATGTGGGTTAATTTACTAACCTCTCTAGCAAGATGTAACTTGACCCCTTGTACAATTTGAAAATTTTCAAAAATAAAAATCGACCTGTCTAAGGATTTTACTCCATCATTGGTTCAAACACTGTATACCATTGTAACATGATCATGGCATTCCCCTTTTTTTTGTCTACCTTCATGGATATATATCTTTCTAATTCAGGACACGGTTTATATATACTCAATAAACGTCACTGTCCCATAAAGCATTATCCTTTTACTTCCGGTTCAACTCTCGATATTCAAAAATGGGAGATCATGTATATTGATTCCAATATTCGGTTATAGTTTTTTTGCCAAAATATTTTACTTGTGCAACATACCCTTATCAATCGTGCTATTCTTGAATTCGTAATAATTTATCCCTACCTGAACATAAGAAATATACAGGGTATCCCATTTTTTGTTGTTGTCGTTGTTGGTGTCATTTTGCTAGTTGAAACGGAAAAGAAGGATAATTCAATGAGCCAAAAATTGACGTTTATTAAGTAATTTTTCGATTTTCAAAAATGTATCTCAGTGTAGAAAAAAACGGGAGCGTACTGGACGTCCCAGATGATTTTAAACAGCATACAGCTAAAATCTCTAATATATCATTTAGAAAAAAATCTGAATAAAACATTGAAATAGAATGTCAAATTCAAATTCCACCCATAGGAAATCACCCCAAACTCACAATATTTGATGAGAACTTAATTACATTTTCATGTCAGACCTTTTCATTTCTCATGAAACTTCTGAGATTGAAAAATAAACCACAAGTTATTTGGAATAGTTCTCATTGATAAAGTGCTTTATAACAATATAACTAGTAGAAATGATGGTTCACAAGCAACTTTTGTATGATTCTTCATAGCAGTAATGTTAACATTTTGAATATCTTGATTCTCAAGTTTCACGTATATTTGAATATTATGTGATATATTCTTGAAATTGAAATAGATTGTAACTCTGAAATCACCTAAGAAATATAAAGGACGCCATTTTATTATTCAAAGCTGAAGGTGATTTCTTAGGGATACCCGGTATATGGGATATTTTCGAAATTGGAGCGATATGATCGCGCCAATTTTAGAAACACGCTGTAAAAAATATTCATCATATTGTACAATTTATGTCTATTATTATATATTTTTACTAACTATCACGTG